AAACGATGAATCAATTAGGAAAATAGCGTTGAGTGCTGCTTTTCTTTGTTATGAAATATTTTCGTTGGTAAAATAGTTTTGTCTAAAATGTAAGTAACTTACTTGATTATAAATCATTTAACTTGATAATATTTGGCAAAACATTTTCATGTTATTACTTAACTGTATAATGTTATTAATAATAAACTGAACATGTTGAATGTTTCTTCTGTGAGTTTCTTGTGTGCTGTTATTGTTTTTGTTTTGATTTCTCCACTAAAGTCTCTCACAAAGAGACAGGCAGCGCTGGCCTCAGCTTTACCAAAATACGACAAATTATCCATTATCAATCGCTGGCTGAGGTATCACCTTATCGACACCATACACCTAATCGATGTATATTGTAATAATTGGTAGTTATCAAATAAAACGTGGGTCTAAAATATGCTATTTACACTTTTGCAGGGGTAGACTAGGACCAAAAAATGGCCCTGGACTCAGCCCACCGTACGGTGGCCGAGAGAGCTTAATGCGCTGCAACTGAAGCAAACACGTGCAAATAGAAAAAAAAAAAACAACAACAACAACATGCAAATAGGAAAAAAAAAAAACACCTGCAAATTAAAAAATCATCATCATCAGTTTCACAACACACGTGTGCTCCAAATACAGAAACATGCTGCAAATAACACAGACCACAGCGGAAATGTCCCCACAACCCTAATCTCTCACAACAAAATCTAACAAATGTCCTGGCTGGCGTCGAACACGCTTCGACCTCCCAGACTCAGCCCTGAGTCCATCATTGTCCGTTTCGGCGCTGGGAGGGGATTTTGGGGAGCCACTGTGGCTTCCATCAGTCTTTTGCTCTGGGACCAGTGGGTGGTACGGTGCCAATCGGTCCTTATGAAGCACCACCTGTCTACCCCGTCCAGGCATTCGGACCTGGATGAGACCACCTCAGAAATTTTGTCCAAAATCTCCTCAGGTCCCTGCCATTGATGAGTCAGTTTAGGTGACAACCCCCGCTTCCTATGGGGGCAGAACACCCACACTTTGATCCCGCACTGCATACGCCTCCGGCCACTTCGTAAAATAGTCCATAGCGACCAGGACAAAACGGTTGCCGGCTTCTGTGATGGGAAATGGACCCAAGATGTCCACACCAATCCTGCTGTAATGGCGCATGAGAGTGTTGACTGGGTCCCTTCTGTGCCGTGCAAATATCCCAGCAATGAACATGCAGCTCTGTATCCTGCCGACATCCCGGCCAGTAGAAACGCTGCCGCAGCTGCCGCACTGTCTTGGAGTTCCCAAAGTGTTCCCAAGTTCCTTTTGGACTTTTGACCTCTTGACAGTCCAGTCCTTTTTGTCTTTAGCCCAGACGAGACGCTTCTGATGCTGTCTCTTGTTCAAGAGTGGATTGACACAAGGAGGACTGGTGTGATATGTTCATATTTTCAGGTTCTGCTCAGAATCCAGGCAGCAGCGTTCTGTATGAGCTGCAACTCTCTTATGGTCTTTTTGGGAAGGCCAGTGAGGAGACCATTACAGTAATCCACCCTGCTGGCGATGAAAGCATGCACAAGTTTCTCTAAGTCTTGACTGGAAAAAAAAGCATCTAATTCTTCAAATATTTTTTCAGGTGATAGCATGCTGATTTAGTTATTGCTTTGACATGACTACTGAAATTAAAGGACAACTCCGGCGCAAAATGAACCTTTGGTCTAATTACACATTGCTACCTAGTCAACCGTTATCTGAGATTTGTTTTCATGATTGCCGAATGTAAATAGTTTTATCTCTAAAAACAGTTTAGCCTGTAACGCTAGTATAATGCTAGTATATAGGGCATAGAGTAATGACAAATAAAAATCGCTTGTTATTACCACTAACAAGGCTCAAAATAGCCCCACACTAACACGACAGCATAATAAGGGTCCCTACATTCAAACCGAAGCATTGAGAACGTTGTTAGTGTCCAAACAGTTTAATAAGAAGATATTTTATACACACAGTCAACTTCGCGAATACAGGAAGAAGCCATCTTGGAAAAATAGTCTCTACCAGTCGATCTACGAACGCCGATCCAAGTGCGCTGAACCGTTGTTTCCAGAAGGAATACAAACACAAACCGTTTTCTTCTCTTCAATATGTACACGTAGCCTACTGTTCGCGCTCACTGTATCACCTTATTCACATCTCACCAGCGCACTTGGATCGGCGTTCGTAGATCGACTGGTCGAGACTATTTTTCCAAGATGGCTTCTTCCTGTATTCGCGAAGTTGACTGTGTGTATAAAATATCTGCTTATTAAACTGTTTGGACACTGACAAAGTTCTCAATGCTTCGGTTTGAATGTAGGGACCCTTGTTATGCTGTCGTGTTACTGTGGGGGTATTTTGAGCCTTTTTAGTGGTAATAACAAGCGATTTTTATTTGTCATTACTCTATGCCGTATACACTAGCGATATACTAGCGTTATAGGCTAAACTGCTTTTAGAGATAAAACTATTTACATTCGGCAATCATGAAAACAAATCTCAGATAACGGTTGACTAGGTAACAATGTGTAATTAGACTTAAGGTTCATTTAGCGCCGGAGTTGTCCTTTAAGGTCTGACTCTAGAGACACACCAAGATTCCTGACTTGATTTTTAGTTGTTAGACCCCTAGCGTCAAGGTATGCATTCACCTTGAGAACTTCTTCTTTGTTTCCAAACGCAATGACTTCAGTTTTGTCTTTGTTTAACTGCAGAAAGTTTTGACACATCCAACCGTTTACTTCATCAATGCATTGGCACAGGGAGTTAATGGGGCTGTAGTCGTTAGGCGATAAGGGCAAAGTAGAGCTGTGTGTCGTCTGCATAGCTGTGGTAAGAGATTCAGTTCTTTCTCATTATTTGGCTCATTGGGAGCATACACAGGTTGAATAGGAGTGGTGCAAGAATTGAGCCTTGAGGGACTCCACATATCATGTGGCGCTTTTCCACTGCATAGTACGGTACGGTTCGGCTCAGTGCGCTTCGACTTTGCGTTTCCACTGCAGTAGTACCCCTTCAAAGTGTGTGGGACTGATCGTTATTTGCGCGCGCCTCTACTGCCATGACATCATCTTAAAAGCGCCACATTTTCAAACTCACAACACAGGAAAAATGGAGACTATCGAGGGATGGTGTTCCTGATTCTCGGTATGTGGTTGTTTTTAACTGCTAGACGGAAAAATGTGTTTAAAATGAGGCTGATGGCAGCAAAACAAAAATACTGCTAAAAAAGTGTCTCGTGTCGCAAATCCAATGACGCTAGTGACGCTGGTAGTGACGATTCTGTCTGACCAATCAGTGATCTGCAGTGTTTCACGTCACATTTTAGTACCGGTACGGTACGCTTGGAACCTCAACAGACCAGGTACCATTTAAAGCGAACCGAAGCGAACCGTACTGTACCGTACCATGCAGTGGAAAAGCACCACAAGTGAGCCGTACCGAACCGAACCGTACCGTACTATGCAGTGGAAAAGCGCCTATGGATGTCCACTCAGACTTATGGTCTCCTATGGTCAAATAATAACCTCTCCCTTCTAAGTATGACCTGAACCATTTTATGATTTTTCAGCCATTTTGCCAAAATTCTCTTAAAATGTCTTTGATTGCTCCTTGCTGCAGTTGGTCTGCCACTCCCACCCATGATGGCAAGTGTTGCCGCTTCTTGCGCTTGGCCCCGGTAATGGCTGCTTGCAGCTATATTGTTGTTCTTGCTTCTGTTTTATGTTTGATGTTTTGAAGTAAAATTACATTTGGGTTCTCAACCAGCTGGGTCCAGTGAATTCATTCATAACAATATGTGGTAACACTTTATTTTACGACCCGCAAACAACTGTATAAGTACACTGAAATTACGGTGAACGTTTCTGTAATTATAGTGTACTTCCGTGTAAGTATAAGGGAACAATATGTTAAGTTTGGGGTAATAAAGGGGTAACAAACAGATATACAACCTGCAAATAACTGTGTAAGTTCACTGAAATTACGGTGTACGTTTCTGTAATTTTAGTATACTTCCGTGAAGTTATAAGGGAACAATATGTTAAGTTTGGGGTAATAAGGGGGTAACAAGCAGATATGCAAGCAAATTATTTAATTAGTTAAAAAATAACAGGTACCTATTCTGTTAATATATTCCAGGCAAAAATTGTACGTCTGTTGTTTATAAAACATATCACATTTCTGGCAAAATATGTTTTCGTGCAATGTTACAGGGTAATTTTGACATCTGTGGGTTAAAAATTAAACGCACACACACACACACACACATATACTGTATATATATACTATGATAAAAATTAAATTTATTGCCATTTCTTACTAGATAAGTCAAAATAATTTGTTTTTGCTATAATTGTAATTTAGACCTTACCATGTGGTAATTAGTACCTTATCCCATTGAATTGCAATGCCACTTAAATGTCATGGCAAATATAATGTGTAGCCTAATTAAAAGTTTTTTTTTTTAGTTTTTTTTTTAGGTAACAGTACCTTTCTCTGCATTACAGCGCGTGTTGTTTCGTTTTGCTACATAGTAAGAATCGTTTGTTACCCCCTTATTCTGTGTAGTTACAGGGTAAGTGTAACTCCTGCGGGCTGTAAATTAAAGTGGTGCTTGATACCCCTTTATTACCCAAAACTTAACATATTGTTCCCTTATACTTACACGGAAGTACACTATAATTACAGAAACGTACACCGTAATTTCAGTGTACTTACACAGTTGTTTGCGGGTCGTAAAATAAAGTGTTACCCAATATGTGACTTTTGAGGGTTGTTTTCGTTGTTTTAACATGTGTTTAGGATATTTGTTTTAATGCATAGTTTTAACTCAGTTTAAATGTTAAGTCAATAACAGCCTCATGAAAGATCAATATCAGTGTCTTATCTAATATAGGTGTTAACTTGTTCAAATGTTATTATCTTAGCCAAAGCAAAGTTTTCACATCCGCTTAGGCTCAGGTTTCCTGTATTTAACACATTCAACGGTAACGTATCCTTCATTCCACTCCTGGGTCATTCCAAGCCTGAGCTTTATCATCTGACTCACCCAGAATCCAGACGCCTTGCCAGTGCTCGTCAAATCTGAGGACAGAAACACAAGACAAGAAACAAACGTAAGAATTATTTTGCCACACAAATAATTTCAAAATAAAAGTAGCCTAATGCTTTTAGTAAGTCTTTCACTGAAACATGGTCAGAGTTGAGTGTAATTGTGAAAAACTTTTCTCCTTTTGTTTGCAGACTATGTTTCTTACAAAAACGTTTTTCGTGATCCTTTTCAGTCTTTCACTGAATGTATGGCTCTGTGAGACTGCAACTGTGATACTTTGTAAGAAGTATAATATATATTGTTTTTTTATTGAAATGAATTTATCTTAAAATGTTGAAATATTTTTTTTATTACAATATATTCCACTCAATCTTTGTCTTACATTGCAGTGGATCAACAAGAAGATATTAAAACAGTTGATATCAATCTTGGGAAAGCATATGCCGCTCGAAGCTGCAAAGAACTTCAGAAAAAGTATCATGTTAAGGATGGTACGCTCATTTTATGTTAATATTTGATCCTAAGCAACAACTGCAGTGAAATGACTCATAATGTTTTTGTTGTTAGACGGCCTGTACTATCTGAACTCCTCCAGAGGCGTCCTGTACCAGACCTTCTGTGATATGACCACTGCGGGCGGAGGCTGGACGCTGGTCGCCAGTGTTCATGAAAACAACATATACGGAAAGTGCACTGTTGGTGATCGCTGGTCTAGTCAGCAGGGCAGTGAACCAAAACGGCCTGATGGTGAAGGGACATGGGCAAACACAGTCACATTCGGAAGTGCAGATGCCTCTACAAGCGATGATTATAAGGTATTTCTATTAAATGTATGGTTTTGCAGCAATAGTTAAAGGAACAGAAAGGACACAAGAGTGAGAATGTTTTTGTAAAATCTGAAACGTTTCCCTTCTGTCACAGAATCCTGGATACTTTGACATCCCAGCACAAGATGTGTCCGTGTGGCACGTTCCTAATAATATGGAGGTGGAATCCTGGAGCGCTTCCTCCATCCTGCGATACCACTCCGAAAATCACTTCTTAACTCTCCACGGGGGAAACCTTTACAACTTATTCAAGGTCGGATAAACTTCAACACCATTTTTGGGTTTGAAACATGTGACAAAACTACAATTTTAGTGAAATTACCATAACACCGTTTCCCCCCCACAGAAATTCCCGGTGAGGTTTGGCATAGGGACATGCATCACTGATAATGGACCTGTTATTCCAATAGTGTATGACTACGGAAATGCGGATAACATCAGAAATCTCTATGGTCCCAATTCAAGAAGTATGGCTCCTTTATTTAAGCAAGTCACTTAAAAACAAGTTCTTATTTACAACAACAGCCTGGCACTATCCCTTGAGCAGTGTTGTAGTCGAGACCACCTCACTCGAGTCCGAGTCAAGACCGAGTCCATAGAGAGTCGAGTCCGAGACCAGAGACGGTCGAGTCCGAGTCGAGACCGAGAGCAGTGAGGGTTGATTACCTGATTTACTTTTATTTACTTAGAGAATTTTTTTTTTTTTTACTGAATTTACTTAGAGTTTAAAAAATATGATCAGTTTAGGGTAAAAAGGCCACATAGTAGGTGGTGTTAAAAGTAATTTTATTACAATTTGTCATGCGCAGTTGCGCACTAGAAAATCACCAATCACTGGGCGTGTCAATCAATTTAAAGAAATATTTTATTAACATACATTAATAATCATGAAAAATATTTTGAATTGAACTCGAGTGGACTAGGGAATATGTCCGAGTCCTAAAAAAAAAATGTTCGAGTACGAGTCAATTCCGAGTCCAAATGGACACGAGTCCATGACAAGACCAAGACCATTAAAATATGGTCTCGAGACCGAGTCCGAGACGAGTCCGAGTCGCGAGTACTACAACACTGCCCTTGAGACAAGTTTTTTCAAATGGTTTGAATGAAAGTGCCTTCATCAGTTTACAGTATCTGAAAATCTGTGTATTATTAAGTGATTAAGTGGTGTACAAGGCATCATCATTGTTGAGATCCAATCACTTTATTGAATAAAAGCCATGTGTTCATGACAGATTATCATCACTGATATATTCTGTGCATTTTCCCAGCAAATTTTCAGCCTGGATTCATCTCATTCAGAGTCTTTAATCATGAACGGGCAGCCATGGCTCTGTGTTCAGGTACCAAACCAACCGACTGCAACACTGAACATGTGAGTAGAAATAATATTCTGCAATGCATGGACAGCATTTGTAAAATTAATAAATTTACAATGAAAATAAGTCATTTTTGTCAGTAATGTCCTCATATTGTTGCAGTTCTGTATTGGTGGAGGTGGACACTTTCCCGAGGCGTCCCCTAGGCAGTGCGGGGACTTTACGGGATTTGACTGGGATGTTGCGGGATGGAGCGCTTCTAAAGAGATCACTGAAGCAGCCGTGCTTCTTTTTTATCGCTGACACTCACAGCAATCTGAAATCACCAGCATCCTTTACTTCTTTCTAAGATTTTCCAGATTAATTAACACCTGAATTTTACATACACAATTATTTGCTCAAATGTATTTCTTATATCCCATGGTTGTCAATTATACTGTGTTCAGACACCAGATTAAATACTTTCGTTTAACTTCTAGTCTACAAGGTACTTTGACAAATTTTGTAATGAATCATTTCTAACAATTCTTTTTCATGCAGGATATTTGTAATATTCTTTTGAAAACGAAATGTCCGCAGCACTTGGGCCAAATAGTAAAAATGATGGACATGACATTGAAATATAATAATAGCCCCATGACATATTATTGAGTAATTAACAAATTGCTTTGACATTAAAAGGAGGAGATTGCTGAATTTGCACTTATGTTGAACCAATCATATTAGAGAAAAATGGTGTGATGATATTGAGTAATATGTCATGTTACCTTTACTATGTACCTATCCTATAACTCTTGTACTCTTCTTGCTTGTGGGATTCTCTCTAGAATGTGTGATTCCCTCCCTGTCGTGATTAAAGCATATTCAAAGGCATTGTCTGGAGTCTGTCTGGTTATTAATGCACAGCGGGTTACCGGAGCACTAGAGATCTTATTCACAAGTGATAGTGTTCACAGGGGACGAGACGTCGGGGGTTAGGAAATGCGCAACAAGTCAGGTGCATAGGGGAATTTCTACTACTACGATATTTAAATAAATATCATATATTAACTTAATTTAGATTTTTCTTTTTTTTTTCTTTTAAACATGTATATTTCTACAAAGCATTGGAGAATATTGATTGATGTAATGCATCTGAAATGATCATAGAATTGTAAGTGAATGCACGAGCATAACCCGGAGTCAGCGGTGGTCCAGCGGTAGTGGCAACCAGGAGGACGTTCCCTTTCAGTCGATAAGTCGACTGAAATGGGGAGACTTTGAAAACGCCACTAAAGCTGCCACCTTCCCGTGCCTAGACAAAAGCCTCCTGATGCCCCCGCATTTGAGGCGGGGAAGGACAGGGCATAGGCCAGGGAAGTCACTGCATGCTGTACATTGGAAGGAAGGGATGCTGCGGAAGCCACATACCCAGAGGGAGGTAACGTGGAGAATACACATATGAACTGGGCGGATGACCGGGCAGAATTTTAATTTTAATAATTTTAATAATTTTCGTAATACTAGTATGACATATGGAATGTCACGGGGTTGTATTTGAAGGGTAGGCTACTACCCTGAGGTTTTAGTGTCAGTTTTATCAAAGGTGCGGGACTTATGACCTGTAGTCATAATCGCCAGCCACGAGGGGGCTCACTTTGGCTGATCTGTCACGTTCGCTTGCAAAAAGGCCAGCAGAGCTGCTAAAATGTCAAATGAATTATTATTTTAGGTAGTTATTATCACAATAATCCATGTCCAAGAGTCCATTTCCCCAGATGAGATGGTTTTTATACGTTATTTGACACTATATTATAAACACTGACCTCCTCGAGCTTTTATTTTGGCACTTCCGGTTACCGCATTTTTCTATTTGCATATTACCTAAATATTTAGTTTCACCCAAAACATTTAGATTCAACATTTATATTTAGATTTAACATTTAGAATTAGATTTAACATTTATATTTAACATTTAAATTTAGATTTAACATTTACATTTAACATTTAGGTTTAGATTTAACATGTAGATTTCGATTTAACATTTGGGTGTAACATTTAATATTTAGATTTAACTATTTAGAATTTAAAATGAGAACAAGCTGCTTTGTCATATTACACTTCATTTTAGCTAATAGCTACTGTCTGTGTCTGTCTCACTGAAAAGCTTGCGTGCCAAAGTCATTCATTTCATTGGATCACTTGCTGGTGACGATGCAGCCTGTGGGCAGGCTTATTCTAATCTGAAAAAAAATAAAAATAAAGCCTACCCGGAAGTGCGCAAAAACTGCAATACATGAAAAATCTGCTAGGTGCAGGTCCCAAAAAGGAGAAAATGTACATAGTTCAAATTTCTTATTGCATGAGATTTCACAAATATTGAAATAATAATATATATGATAAAGTGTGAACAGTGAAAAGTGGAAGTCTCTCTTCTTCAGAATCAGAAATCACTCTGGCAAAGCAGCAACACCATTAAAGACTAAAGAAAATGTCATACTACAAACTACGCCGGTTAAATGGTATGTGCAAAAATGGGTTTATTTTCAAATGAAAAATTATTAATAGAAAAAAAAAAAACATGACAACAATTAGCAGATGGCAAATTTGATTTAGATGTTTATCAATTAATTTAGCAAAAAGTCTAATATAATACGCTTAGTGTCCTGCAAATATACTATAAATAATAATAAAACTTGAAACTTTTTTGCGTCTATAAAACTAAAAACTAGTGCAAAAACCACATCCTGAACCTGGAATTTCATGAAGCTCAGCAACTTTTCAAACAAACATACCGGTAATAGGATTATAACAGGTCACAATGACAGCAGTAACAAACATTTAAACAACTGGAGAATCTAAAAGTTAACCCCAACCAATCCAGCAGAACCCGACTGAGACCGATCCGAGCACACGGACCCGTTCGCCCGAGAGGACCGTGAGCCTTTGGACTGAAGACTGACTGAACTTGCTGAGCGAGAGCCTCCGCTGGCCCTCTGACGGCTCGAGGGGTCCGAGGACATTCGGCTCTGCTCCGGGGCCTCAAACTCAAGAGGCTCCTGTAACGCCTGCGAGGAACGACACAAGCCGACTGGAGTTAGAGGCACTTCTGGTTGGGAATGAGGCTGGGGAATGTCTTCAGCTTTAGCAGGAGGTTCTGAGTGAGTCTTTGATTCAGGTCGAGGGACGTCTGCCATCTGTGTGGAGATTAGAGAAATAATAATAATGATATAAATAAAACAAATACACTATCATTCAAAAGTTTGGGGTCGGTAAGATTATCTTCCAAGTGAGATTAATGATTATTATTCTTTAAAAAAAAAATTTATTACTCTCCTTATTAGTTAGGACTTCATTTGGAATAAAAATGTTTATGTTTTTGAAAGAAGTCTCACCAAGGTTGCATTTATTTGATCAAAAATACAGTAAAAACTGCGAAATATCATTCAAATATAAATTAACTTTTCTATGTGTATATACACTCACCTAAAGGATTATTAGGAACACCATACTAATACTGTGTTTGACCCCCGTTCACCTTCAGAACTGCATTAATTCTTCGTGGCGTTGATTCAACAAGGTGCTGAAAGCGTTCTTTAGAAATGTTGGGCCATATTGATAGGATAGCATCTTGCAGTTGATGGAGATTTGTGGGATGCACATCCAGGACACGAAGCTCCCGTTCCACCACATCCCAAAGATGCTCTATTGGGTTGAGATCTGGTGACTGTGGCGGCCATTTTAGTCCAGTCAACTCATTGACATGTTCAAGAAACCAATTTGAAATGATTGGAGCTTTGTGACATGGTGCATTATCCTGCTGGAAGTAGCCATCAGAGGATGGGGACATGGTGGCCATAAAGGGATGGACATGGTCAGAAACAATGCTCAGGTAGGCCGTGGCATTTAAACGATGCCCAATTGGCACTAAGGGGCCTAAAGTGTGCCAAGAAAACATCCCCCACACCATTACACCACCACCACCAGCCTGCACAGTGGGAACAAGGTATGATGGATCCATGTTCTCATTCTGTTTACGCCAAATTCTGACTCTACCAACAGAAATCGAGACTCATCAGACCAGGCAACATTTTTCCAGTCTTCAACTGTCCGATTTTGGTGAGCTCTTGCAACGCGTCACCTCTTTTTCCTATTTGTAGTGGAGATGAGTGGTACCCGGTGGGGTCTTCTGCTGTTGTAGCCCATCCATTTATTACACCATGTGGTAAATGCCCATTTTTGCAACATGCTGTTTTTGTGCATGTATCTTTATATGTAAATTGTCTGATTGACCCCGCCCACTTTCCGGAAGAGGGCGGAGCCTGTACAGCTTGTGCCTCAGATACTCTGCCAAAAACTAAAACATCTGTTTGGTTTTGATTGATCTCTATTGTGTTCACGCTCACGTATCATTTCAGTTCTTAATCACGAAAGTTTAGTAAAGTGGGGATTCCGTGTTCATTTGTGATGTCACATTGGATCACATTCCTGATTGGCTCATTTTGAGACACTGTTTTAGATTTATGGGGAAAATAAATGGAGTGGATTTTTACCACAACAGGTTGGTTGTGTACACACACTGCGGACACATAAAAAAATCTAACTGATCCCAAACTTTTGAATGGAAGTAAATAAATATTCATTTTTCATTAAATAATTTTGTGTGTCATGTGTGCTCACGGCTGAAGTCTCCCTCCTCTCCTCGTTTCTCTGGTTCTCTCGGCTGATGTGTGTCCGCTCTGTTGAGGAGAGCTGAGGATGCCCAAGAAGCCCGAAGTCTGATTGGTCAATTCCAGCCATAGATGCAAACCGGCCCAGCCTAACAGCGAGAAATTCCCAATTAATCCCAACGAAATCTTCAAAGAATAAAAATAACCTGTCATCACGACTTCTGTAGATGTAAAATATTAGATTTCAGGTAACAGATCAGACAAACCCAGCATCTTTCAGCAGGTCCAGGAAGGCGTGGAATTTGTGGAAGGAGGATTCGATGCTCTCCAGCACATGTTCATCCTCTAGAACAGAGGCGTTGAGATGGGCTTCAGACAGGGATTGGTTCAGACTGCGCAAACGCTCATTCTCCAGCTCCAGCTACAGGAAGAGACATGATTAACATTACTTTCTGAAATGTTACAGTTCATTTTGCCAACAGAATGACTGGGAATACGTGTACCTCCACCAGGCGAGAGTTGGTCTTCAGTCTGGTGTTCCTCTCCTCTGCCAGCCTCAGCCGACACTCTTCTAGCGCCACCTGTGGGTGAGCGGAGGAAGTGCAGCGCATTATACTTCATGTTATACAGCTAAAAATATTTAGCTGGATAATTAAGCCATGCTTAAAAATGTCAGAATGTCTTTACATTAGATCAAATATATGAAGAGTTCAGATGCAAAAGCCTCTAAATGCCATTTGAAATTTTCTTCTTTAATGATGATTTTTATCAAACTTGTATATTTAAGTTCAGTGATTTCACTTAAATGGCAATGATAATTACCTATTAATTGTTATTTAAGTGAAATTACTGAACTTAAATATACAAGTTTGATAAAAATCATCATTAAAGAAAATTTCAAATGGCATTTAGCGGCTTTTGCATCTGAACTCTTTATATACACCAAGTGCCACTGTACTTTTGGGGCATTTTGTTTTTTATTTTTGTTATATTAACCACAATACAATTTTGGGAAACTTTTTCATCACTATCATTGCTACTTTTCATTAATTGGATTATTTTACCCGTGTCCCAGACTTTCTGTTTCAAACTATGAGTTAATCATAAAAATAAGAACTATTACATGATTATTACATATTTCTGAGTAAATCCAAACAGAAGGACATGATCATAAGCCATTACCCACCACACCGAACTGCTTAGCTTTGTTTTTATTTATTTTAC